ACGAATCTACTGCTCCCTCTAGTGTTAGAGTTTCTAAAATAGAGATAAATAAACATCCAGTTGCCTCCAATCAAGAAGATTCAAAAACCACAGACGTTTCTCCCTCAATTTCTACAGAGCCTCAGTTAAATCCAACTTCTTTCGAACCTCCATCTCCACACGCCTCCTTCGTTTCCCCTAAGGAAATTAATATTAACTCCTGCATCTAACCAATTCTCCTAGTCTGCAAAAGGTATTGCCGAACATCAAGATATTCCCTTAGCTAAAGAAGAAATCCTAAAGACTATTGTCGTGTATGACATGGATCCTTGTCTATACGCCATGAAACCCTTGGTATACTTTGTCAAAACTAACATTCAACACATTCCTCTGAATGAATTATTGTACCATTTTGGAGTGCGCGTAAAAAATGCTCTAGAACTAGTGGGAAGAAGAAATCTAACTAGCATAAATCCAGAGGAAGTTGAAGTGACTTGGAAGTCATCAGATATTGGCTGGAAACCAACTCTAGAATCATGTAATCCTATGGCCTTGTTGAAGCTGCCAAGAAGAAAAAAGTCTGGGAAAAAGCCACCACAAAGGTTCTCCTTTTACCTGCTCCAAAACCATAAGTTGTGCTTACATTAGAAGCTATCCCTTCATCTAGTACTTCTGATGTTACGTTAGCAATGGTAAAATTTCAACCCTCTTGCTCTGAAGTGAAGCCTTCTATGGACGTTGAAAAGGAAATCAATGGGCTGAATGAAAATTTGGAAAAAGTCCAAGAGACCAATCATCATATCCAGGAACGTCTAGACAAAAATGAAGAAAACAAAGTTGCTCAAGCAACTTCCTTCAATCAGATGGCTGAGATTTTGAAGCAGTTTACGTAGAAGTCTAACAAGGAGTCTTAGGATTAGACCTTTGTCTTAGAAATTAAGATTTATTTTCTTCTGTTTCTAAAAATATTGTATCTTTTAAACCCTTGTGTTTAATGAAGTTTTTAGTTGTTTGTTGGTTATCAATCAAAGTTTATTTCTATGTATCCTTATCACCTTTTTGATTTCTGACAAAGGGAGAGAAAGTAAAATGATGTTGATAATATTTATTCTCAGAATCATAAACTCAGACATATAAAATGTTGCTGTTATTAACTATTTGTTTGATGTTTCAATCCAGGAAATTTGAATAAGTTCCCTGAGTATTCTAAGACAGGTTAAATATGAAGATCATGATGCTAAGGTTAATAACCTTTTGGATAAAATCAACTCTGATTTCATATATAAGAAGTTGTACACTTTGTGAATATATGAATATTCTAACAGATGTACCAAACATAATTCAGAATTTATAAACTTACTGAAAGTAATGTAATCTTGCTTGATATCATATTGTTCAGAATTTGTGAACTTTCTGAAAGTATGGAATTCAGATTCAAAGCTTCAGAAGTTATGTTCTTCTAAAAGAAAGTTAAATCAATATTCTGATGCATGCTCTAATACAGAGATTCCACTCAAAAGATGTGCTCTGATACACGTGCTTCTAAAACGTATGCTCTATTCAGAAGTTGTGAATTGTCTGAATGAAGGATATATTGGAATATATCAAATCAAACGTTGATGCTTAAGAAGTAGTGAACTTCTCCAAAAGTATAGTGTTTTGTTTGTGATATTAGAATCAAGAAATAGAAATGCTGATACATGATGTGTGTCATTATTCAATCAGGCTCAAAATCAAGTTTTGATTCTTCATCAAGTTCTGATAGTAACTAGGTTCTGAAATGAAGACTAGGTGTTCTAGTCAGACTCTGATGAGTTGTTGTATGGAAGTGTTCCTTCTCTATTTCTATGTTTTGAAAACTCAAAATTTGTTTTGTGAGTCTTGGGCTCAGGGGGAGACTCTGAACAAGGATAAATGAAATTTTAGAATTAACAGATTCAGGGGGAGTTGTGAGCTTAACTCTAAATTTGTCGGTTACGGTGACTACCTTGTATAAATTATTCTATCAAAATACATGGTTTTGTCATCATAAAAAAGGGGGAGATTAGAAGAACACGAAGTGTTTCTACATCTGACCTTAATATTTTGATGATAACTTTGCATGGTATCATTAAGAATAATTATATACTCTAATGGTTTCGTTCTAGTGTGTAACTGCTGTTGTAATGTTCTAGATCTGGTATCTAGGCGTGTGACATCATCAGGTTCTGAACATAAATACTACTGGATGAAAACATGTGATTACATGTTATAGTTGAAAGATTCTGGAATTCATCTTATGCAACGGGTCTTGGGAACGTTAGTACAAGAGGTTCTGATTGTGACTTTATGGTTAAGCTTTGGAGGCCTTCTAAAGCTTTTCTTATGTGTTTTACAAGTTTTAAAGATTATGAAGACGAGGCTTTGCTGAACAAGTTCTGATGATCTGAAGAAAAGCAAGTTCTTACAACCAAGTGCTGAAGACTCTGAAGACGAGATTTTGATAAGACAAGTTCTGAAGACTCCAAGACTTAGGATCTAAGACTTAAGAGTTATTCTTCTACAACAAGCTTCAAATATTCAAATTATCTGAAGCCTTTGAAGATAAGAAGAAGTTCTAAATGGTTAACGTGTGATGGTGTACAAAATGTACAAAAAGTGCTATGTTACCTCTACCCTCTAGGGTGGCATAAGGACAGTCCTTTCATACTATACTGTGACCACTCTCATTATGACTGTTGAGAACAAAGAGCTTTGTTTTCCAATTACCTTTCTACCCTTTCAATGAATCTCTTTTACGAGATATAAAAGAATGACTCGGAAGCTGAAGAAATATAAGAATCAACATTACACAAATTTATCAGATTAAATTAAGCTCTAGCAAAACTACACTAAAGAATTGTGCAAACTCTTTAGATAAATCTTCTGTGTATAGTTTTGTAAATAGGCAAGGAGTTGTTGCTCGTATATTGTTGTAAAACACTTAGGTGTTTTTATTTATACAGAAACATCTATGTAATCTGATTAGAAGAAGCAAATTGTAATACACTGAAAGTATTCAACTGTTGTTAATTCTTTGAGAGACCAAGTGAAGGTCAGATCTCAAGAAGACTCTTGTTGCGGTTTGAGTGGATTTGCAATAAGGATCGACTGACTTATTGGAGGTGCCAATAAGGTTGATCTGACTTATTGTGGGTTGTTTATAATCAGTTTGATTATAGTGGATTAAGTCCTTGTTGAAGGAAAATCACCTTGCGGGGTGGAATGGAGTAGCTTAGTTAACAGTTAGCCAAGATAAAAATATTTTTGTTCATTTATTTTTATGTTCTAAGTTAACTTGGTCTTTCATCAAAGAAAAAATTTAATTTACTTTGGTGAAACCCAATTCAAAACTCATTTCTTGTGTTTCTCACACATTCAATGTGTTGGATTAAAATATTCAGCGTTAACCTTAGGGATTCGAAAGGCTTAACATCCCACCCATGCCGGTTAGTATGGGCTAGGCGCAGCCCCTAAAAAAGCTCATACTATATGAAAATAAGGTTGTGTCTTCATTAACTAACAGTCATTGCTTTTAGCATAGTGGTAAGCGTTTGATCCTGTTTACGTGGTATCAGAGCATGATCATGGGTTCGAATCCCCCCGACTAACACTGGGGAGGGAGATTGTTGGATTAAAATATCAAGCGTCAACCTTATAGATTTGGAGGGCTTTACATCCCACTTATGGCGCTTAGTATGGGCTAGGCGCAGCCCCTGAAAAAGCTCATACTATATGGAAATAAGATTACGTCCTCACTAACAACAATTTCTTTTAGCATAGTGGTAAACGCTTGATCCATTTTATGATATTAGCTGGTGTGACGTGATATCCACATCGCAAATGACAATATTTTTTTGTAGTGAACGATCATTTAATTTCGAATAATAACATATATCTAACCTTGTTTTCCTTGAACTCTTTGAACGGTAGAAATGTCATAAACGTCATAAGAATTGACTTGTCATCCTCCCACTTTTTTGGTTTGTTGAACTTTATTGTGCACCGTATGTTTATGAAAGATAGCAAGTTGTGGATAGACTTAATACATAATTTCATCTATCTCTATGTCTATTTGTTGTCTAACAAAAGACATTATTAATACCATTGGTGTTTCAGGCAGATAAATAAGTGTGTCTCCATAAGCATTGGGAGGAGACAATGATGTTGGCATTTCCAAAGTTTGTGGAGGTTTATTGGTCTTTGTGAGTTTTCCCTCTAATGCAAATGAAGGTTTTGATCCATATTGTCGAGATTTTTTCCATTATGTAGACGCATACACCAAATATAGTATTGATCTAGTAGAGTGAATATTTAAGAGTTCTGGTTAAGTGTCTCACCGGAAGTGTCAATCTAGAAAATCAACTAATAGTTTTCAACAATGATTCTTTTTTCTTCAACTAATTACGCTGAAGGAACTATGTTCCTTAGCTACAAGTTCCTTTATTACTCCAAAATATATGTGCGGTATTTCTAAGTTTAAGCTACTAAACTATAAAATGCAAAAAATGAAAGATAAAGATAATAAAATTAGAAAATAATGGAAATTTTTTTATAGACATAACTTTAAAAAATAATTTTACACACAATCAATCACAACTTTTTAATTAATTAAAAAATAAATATAATATTTTTTCTCTCTCTTAATCACAATCACCCGATGAATCTAATTAAAAAATAAATTAAAATTTAAGTAAATTTAAATTTTTCTCTATTCTTATTAATTGTTTTTAAGAAAGTTGATTTAGGATTATTTCCATTTAAGAATTCCTCATAAATTAAAATGTACAACTTGTTTGATTGATTGGGTGTTGAAAAATTCTTAATATTTAGAGAAATTAAATGTTTCAATAATTGATAAATACAAAATATTATAATAAAGACATTAATTTAAACATTTATAGCTAGAATATGAAATGTTATAATTCAACTCAAAATTCATAACAGTTTAAAAATAAAATTCATAACAGTCTAAAAATAAGTCCCAGAGGAACCTATAATCATCAATCATTGCGACCACCAGATGATCCGCTAGCATCCAAAGCCAAATTGAGCTCATTTGCACCATCAACTGAATGAAATAACAAAAGTAAAACACTTAGTTAAAACATTCAAACTTATAATTTTTTTTCTATAAGCCAAATCAGAAGATCGAGTAACTACGACTTACATGAAACACGATAAACGGTTAGTTTACACGTTGATGAAGCCCTTGAGCATGATCGTAATAGTCCTTCTATTCCAGGGTGTCCACCGTTCCAGATTTTCATGGTTTGTAACACTGCAGCATTCTTCAAAATATACTTTGCTAGCAAAAGCTCACCTTGTAAACCTAAGAAACTCAAAAGATGACAAGCTTTAAGGTGTAATGAAAGACACTGCGGAACAAATTTAGGGTCCACCCAATTTTCTTTGTCATCTTTTCTAGTCCATGTTTCCTCATTTTTGGCCCATATATCAGTATTTGATGCCGCCTGTTAATAATGCAAATAACACAATAAAACATAAAGTGTGCTATGAAAAGATAACCAAGATATGATCCCGAACAAACCTCATTAAGTTTAAGTGTTTGAAGCTTGGGACAGTGTTTGAGAACTTCAATCAAGAAACGCCAACGGTAGTTGAACGAGTTAAGGTCCAGGGAGGTCAAATTATTAAAGGTAGGAAGGACATGATTATAGGAAACCATCTAGCATATGAAGAAAGCAAAATGTAAGAAGTAAGAAATCATGGTAAAAGCAAAAATAATTAAACAAAGACTACACAATCAAACCTCAGCAGTTGAAATGGAAAGAGAGTGAACATGAAGAAGTGGTTCGAATGGAAAGTGAAAGTAAGTGGAATCAACGCTTGCTCGGGTCAAGGTCTTTAAGGTAAAGCTTTTCCATTTGTTAGTGCTTAGAGAATCCTCAGAATGGAAACCCCATATTTTAGATATGAATAACTCCTCAAGAATGGGACATCCAGCTAAAAGCAACATAAAGTTTTGATCTTTTTGGGAAAATATAAGTTCTAAGGAAAGGGTTTTGAGTGAGGGAAGTTTAACGGAAGGAAAAGTAAAGTTTAAACAGAAAAAGCGAAGAGAAAGAGAAACAAGGGTTTCGCATGTAAGAATGGTATTAGGCAAATCAGGCACACCGGGCATTAGCATTAGAAAGAGATCAAGATGCTCAACACCTTGTTGCACCAAAAAGTTGATCCATTTGTAAAAACTGGGAATGCCAAGATCGATATCTTGAGTATAATCGTACATAAGAGAGATTTTGAAACCCTTAATGGGAGTTACGGAGAGCAAGACGTAGTAGATGAAATCGGTAACGCAGAAATTCTCCTTGTGGTCTGTTAATATCGTGTTGGTGAAGTCCAAAACGGGAACTGAACGCCAAAGATGCTTCCACCTTTTGGAGAGAATGCTGGTGGCAACTACTTGTTTGGTTTGGAGAAAAGAGAGAATGAGACACAGAACTTCGTCTGAAAAAGTGCTTAAAATATCATCCGCCATCGCAGAATGATTGTTGGAAAATCAAAATGTTACATGTAAGGCGCTCTTCTGATGGCGGCAATTAGAAAGCTTGATCTTCCTTCTTACTCTTCTAGGTTAAGGAGGTAACACTCATTTTAAATATATAACAACAATTAATCAAAATCATTAATTTTGTATTCATTGAAATTAATGGATTATATTAATTCACATTATATTTTAAGAAAAAATATATTTATTGTATTTTAAAAATTATGATAATTAATTAAGGAGTTAATGGTTATACACCATCAATGGCAATCCATTACAATTATTTATAATTATAATTATTATTATATATATAACTAAAATAAAAGTCAAACATAATTTAATATGTAAAAATATTTTTAATATAAAATAATTTTATTCATATAGTTTTTTATTTTTTAATTAATATACAAATATTTATAATTATTGTTTAAAAATATCAATTAATACAAAAATTAAAGACTATAATTTTTTTTTGGATTAATATATAACTATATTAACTATTTAACATGATATATTGTTGCTCTTTTGATTCAATGAAAATCACTATTTTTATTTTATTTAAAATAAAATATATGATTAAAAATATAATAATATTTTTATTTTTATTTTATAAAGTCAATAAAAATATTTTCAATGATTTACATTATTCTTAAGATTCAAAAAATTCTATTTCTATTAAATTATTATTGTAGATTTTCAATACCAAATAAATTTATATGTGATGTTTATTATTTAATATATCAAATATATTTATTTATTATCATATATTAAAAACAGTTAGCCCCAAAATTAAAACCATTAATCTACCTCTATATTAATTCAAAAAATATTTTATACTGTCCTATATCGTTTTATTCCAAAAATAAAAAATTATTATATCTTTATATTAATGAAAATCATTAATATTATTATACTATTTAGAATGACCTCAAGTGAGAATGAGAACAATTAATCAAAATTCTTAATTTTTAATTCATTGAAATTAATAGACTAGATTAATTTATCTTTTCATAATCCTCTTTTATTGTATATTATGGCAAAACTTAATTAACATTATATTTTAAGGAAAAATATATTTATTGTATTTTAAGAATTATGATAATCAATTAAATTATTTTTATAAATGTATTTTAGTATATAATAATTTTATTGATAGAGTTACTATTTTTTAATTAATATACAAATATTTATAGTTATTGTATAACAATATAATTAATAATTAATAGTTAATTGATTTAATGGTGATTAGTGTTGGATTTGATATGGAGGATCACAGTTTGATTTTCCCGCAATTGCGATTTGGAGGGTTTGAAATCACTTGATGTCAGAACCGATATATCTGTGGTTAAATAAATAAAAAATCCATTAATTATATAATTTTCTTTTATACATATATATATTTTTCTTATTTTTACTCCTTAAAAGATATTTAAGTATATTTATCATATATTTATTAGAGAAAAATATAAACCACACCTATAAATTTGTATCTAAATATTCTCTTTTAATTAGTATATAAATATTTATAGTTATTGTATAAAAATATCAATTAATACAAAAATTAAAAACTATAAAATTATTTTTTGGATTAATATATAACTATATTAACGATTTAATAGGCTATATCGTTGCTGTTTTTATTAAATGAAAATCACTATTTTTATATTATTTATAATAAAAATATAATAAATATTTATATATTAATTTTAAGAAATCAATAAAAATATTGAATACATTATTCTTAAGATTAAAAAAAGTATTCGCTTTCTATTCAATTATTACTATAGGTTTTTCAATATTAAATAAATTCATATGTGATGTTTATTATTTAATATATTAAATATATTTATTTATTATCATTATATTAAAAATAGTTAGCACCAAAATTAAAACCATTAATATAGTTTTTCTAGTTGTCTTGGCTTCTTTGAATGTCTCGATCCGTTTGCATCGCTATGTTTGTATATGTTTTTTTTTTTGGTGAGACTGTTTGTACCGGTTCTTGGTTCTGAATGCAATACATTTCTTTTTCAAAAAAATCATTAATATAGCTCTATATTAATTCAAAAAATATTTTATACTATCCTATATCGTTATATTCCAAAAATAAAAATTATTATATCTTTACATTAATGAAAATCATTAATATTATTATATAATAATAAAAAATGATTATAACAATATAATAATAATTTTTTTTTGATATAGCTATATATTCTTATTATATGCTGATATTATTAATTTGGATTAATATATAATTATATTAATTTTTTCGTTTTTGAATACAATGATAATATATATGTTAGTAGAAAGTATTTTTTGATTAAAATATAACTATATTGACATTTTTAATTATTGTATTAATTGATTTTTATACAATAACAATATATATTTGTATATGATATAAAAAATAAAAAACACTATTGATAAAATATTTTATGATAAAAAAATCTATAAAAATAACAAAATAATTATCATAATTCTTAAATTAAAATAAATATATTTATTCTTAAACTATAAGATGAATTAATGTTTTGAATGGACTACATAAGTTACAATGAATAAGGACTATAAAAAGAGAAATTAATATATTCTATTGATTTCAATAAATTAAAATTTAAAGGTTATAATTAATTTTTCTCATTTTTTATAATAATCAATTGTTCTCACTTGAGTCGACCCTTATACTATCATATTTAAAGATCTTATTGGTACACATAAAATAAGAATCAGATACTAATAGAATAGAGAATTGTTAATCTACATTTTATGAAAATTCGTAAATGTTTTTCATTTTTCAAAAACGCATCTCGGGGTGTACTTTACGTCTCACTAAATCACACTCACTTGAGGTGACCATCTCATATTTTTTCAAATTTATTCTGGAGATGCATACCCTTACATTCTTCAACAAAACGCCCTTTTTTGACATAACTTGCTACAGAGATATATCTTCGTATTCACACTAGACAGAATTTGAAGATGCATCTCTAGAACTACACTAGATAGTAAATTGTGACTTTGTTTTAGAGAAGCACGGGTGAAATTGACGATGTATTATAGTTATGCTATCATATTTAATTTTATATAAAGTAAAACATATACTTTGTTTCAGAATAATATGAAAAATGACATATAAATCCTCTGCTACCAAGAGGTCAAGATACATTTTGTATGACTTCATCGCCAGATTCCCTTTAGCGGGATGAATCTAAAAGCACGTGGCATATCCTCAGTGTAGGTTAACACACATGACCATCCAGATATATGTGGAAATGCTGAAGGATCTAAGCCAGGAATGGTACATATGAATAATTAATAATGTCGTTGCAAAAGTGTTATGAAGATGACACACAAACACTTAAAGATGCAGAAGTATTACCATCAACACTGTGATGTTGTCTGTCATTGGTTTTGTCTTCCATATACAATATTCAGCTAACTTGGAATACAGGTAGACTAAACAACGACCCCTAGTTTTACTCATGAATCCACTCCAAGCCAATAAAGTGTTACAAATAGGCTACATCCACATAAGTGGCATTCTTGTCCATAAAAATGGGCGTGTAAACAAAATACAACAGGTATGCTCTTAGAGTGTATGCTTTATGATACGCAACCTGCTCATTATCACCAGTGGTCTGCTCTGCATCACGCAACTACTGTGTATACAACCTCTTTAGGAATCAAAACTTAGCATGAGCCCATTAGATGTGTTCTAACTCCTTCAGGCTATCCCCGGGTCAACTCTCAGATATTCTACCATAATCTCTATTGTGTCATCTCTATTAATACTGTTGTGGTGTAACATTTTCCCCTTGATTGAAAGATGCAGCAGGAACAAGATGTCGTCTGATGTGATATACATCGCACCACATGGAATATGAAAATATGAATTCGACGAGTGCCATTTCTCTACAAACATTGACATCATACCAATGTTAACTATAACATAATTGATGTTGCATAGGTCCCGCAACCCAGATAGCCACATCACATCTTGAAAAACCATTTCTCATCAGGTTGCGGCAGACCGGTAAACATTTGACCTTGGTTGTTGATTTTTAAAACATCACAGTCCCGCAGAAAAATAAATCATTTTTGGATACTTCGAATATTATAACAAACATGATTTCCAAAGAATGAATATGTTGTACCCCAAAATTTTCCCTCCCATATTCTTCAAGACTTGCAAAGTCAGTGCTTCAAAATCTCCCCAAGGGTTGCACAATGCAAGGGCCTCCTAACAGTCAAAAATTAGGGTTTTGGTTCTGACAAAGAAAGTGAAGTTTCCAAGGGTCCAATCAAGTCCCATATGCCTACAAACATGGTCAAGTATCCTCATGTCAAGTTTCAAGACTTATAGCACAAAATTGCACAGTCAAAAACCCTAATTGCACTACAGTCAACTGTAGGGGCAAAATGGTCATTTGACAGTCAAAAGTCCAAATTTTTGGTCAACATCTCATTTTGAAGCCACAAACATCATTTGATCAATGCTTGATCATGATTCTCAAGGCTTGGCTCAAAAAGTCTCAAGATGCAAAAGTTTCCATATTTGGACAGTTGAAAAAAAGTCAACTGTAACTTGACCAAGGCATAACTTCCACATGGTTTATCATAAAAATTCCATCCAAAGCTCATTTTGAAGATAACGACATTTCCTACAACTCCTCTTCACACTTCAAGTCCAAGAAATGCTCTCACAAAAAGTTATCAATTTCAACATTATAGGTCATTTTCAAAAGTCAACAAAAATGGACTTTAAGTAAAAGGCCATAACTTGAGATTGGTAAATCAAAATGACATGGGAACAAAGGCATTGGTTAGAGGACTCAAAGACCTTTCCAAAATGTCCAAGAACATGATCAAAGCTTAAAAATTGAGCAAGATATGCCTTGTGGAAGTTGGGAAACTTTTGGATATTTTGAAAAGTCAACTTTGCTTCAAATGTCTTAAAATTGCTAATGGGCCACATTTCCTTCCAAAAT